ACTGTCAGCCAGTTGCCTCCCCGAGGCCTCTCTAGCATTGCGGTTTGGGGGCAGCCAGGCTCCTACCTGCAGCTCGGGGCTCCAGAGAGGGTGTTCTGAGAGACCGCAGTAGACGCTGCAAGGCACCCTGTGAGCCAGCTTCAGAAGTCCCTGGATGCCGTGTCTGTGGCAAAATCTGATGGCAAGCAAGTCACTAAGGTCGACTCAGAATGGAGACTCAGGAAGTGTTTAAGAAACAGACTTGCTGACTGAGCTTGTGGTATGATTCTATCACGTCTAAGTAACCTTGAGAAAGTTTATTTAAACTCCTTGAGCCCCGGGTTTCATATCTGTAAGATGGGAATGTTAATAATAGTATCTATCTCTTATGCTTATGAGAATTAAATGATTATTTATGTCTCATATCAACACCTGCTATGGAAAAGCAGTGATCATCACCAATGCTCATGAGCACCAACATTTGCCGTTTCCTCTTCCTGGGCCCCTGCTGGACCACCTTTCCCAGCCTCCCCTGTAGTTAGGTGTGGCCATGTGACTGAGTTCTAGGTCATGGAACTAAAAGAGAAGTGATATATCTGGCCTCTTATATCCCCTCCGTGTTCACTGCCCCCACATTACACCAACCTGTGTTGTGAGGGAGAAATAAAGTTGCTTCTCAGAGCCATGAGCCTACCGTGCCTATGCACTGGTACATAATAAACTCTCAGTTAAAGCCGGCTGCTCTCTGGCCTAACCCCTCTGCACCTGCGTTCCCACCCGTACAGTGAGGGGATAAGATTAAATGAAATAATGTGTCATCTGAGGTACTGGCTTAGCTTCCCTTCGATCACAGACATTTCATCTAAACACTATAAGCTGGGTCATCATTAGCTTTTTCTTGAAGCAATATTATCCACAATGAAACCTTTTGAAGGCTTAAATTCACATGTCAAAAGGATAACATGTGAATTTGCAATATTTTAGATGCCAGTTCTAATGCTACCATTTTAATTCAGAATACTTCCTAAAATACATGATGATGAATTAGATTAGGGTGTTTCTAATTTTAAACATGAATCAATTTATTTTTGTTTTTTAAATTAGGAAATATTTTAAAATACAAAAAAAGGTAAAACACTTATTTTCCCACAATTCATTATGGTCAAATCTTAACATTCTGTTGAATTTGTGTTTTTCTAAAGAAATGACACATTATGAATGAAACTGAAAAAAAGAATGAGAAATGCTGCATCTAAAGCACTTAATATAGGGCCTGGCAGAAGCGAAGCAGTCGGTAATTGTCGGTAATTTTTCTACAACTTTATTTTAAACAAGTTCACACTTACAGGGAGTTATAAGACAGTGGAGACGTTTGGTGCACACCCGCCACCCAGCTCCCTCGGATGCCCACTGCTCACGGGACCACAGCGCGTGCGCCAGAGGGCGAGCCCTGCTGCCACGCTGTTCCCTGAACTGCAGACTCACTTCAGGTTGCATCGGTCTCTCTGCTTATGTCCTTTTTCTGCTCTGGAATCCCGTCCGGGATACCATGCTGCATTTAGGTCAGCTGGTTTTTAATTTTTCATTTATTCAGCACACTGAGAGTGCTACCAACTTTTAGTCCGAAAGCTGGGTTAGTCCAAGAGTACAAGTCCGAGGCTCTGAGTAGCAGGCGATGCCAGGATGCCCGATACTGTGTACTGACGATCGCCACAGATCTCACTTCTGAAAGCTTGCCACGTGTTGTACAAAGAACCTTCTATCTTCTGCCATGTAACCTTTACAACAACTCTATACGACAGCTACTGTTACTCCCATGATGCAGTTGGGGAAATGGAGGTGTGGAGAGACTGAGGACAGAGGGAGGGTTTGAATCTAGGTAATCTGGCTCCAAAGTCATGCTCCTAACAATACCCCACTCACGAGGCTGCTCCAGAAAAGAGGGCAAGTAGACACATCATCACAGGCTTCCTGGGGCAAGTGTATCAGGCAGGAAACCTTCCTGGTAGACATACCCATCTGGAGTTCAATCTCTGTTTTGTGGGGTATTCTCAAAAATGTCTGACTTTCCCCCACCTGCTTTCTCAGGGACTTCCCTGTCTCGCTCCCCTGCAGCCGTAGATTCTGAGCCTCACCCTCAGAGCCCCAGGGAAGTGGCCTGTTGAAACTCAAGTCCCAGGGTGTGGCTCAGCCTCTGGGTGCCTCACCCCAGCCGGCAGAGGCTGGTGGCCCACACTCACAGGCCCGGATGCTGATTTATAGGTTGGCTTCTGGAGCCACTATTCTGGGCCCTGCTGACAGTGCATGAGCAAGAAATAGCAACAAGGGCTGAGCTGTCAGGCAGAAGGGGGATCCAAGAGAATTGGGGGTGGGCAGATTGAGCTGCTCAGTGGGGACTAGCTTTGTCTGCTCCAGAGATTTACAGTTCTCAACAACCAGAGGACACACTGAAAATGGTTTTCAATTCCTGGATTGGAGAGGGAACCCACTCTGTTGGGCACAGCAGCCGCAGCCCTCCTGCCATTGTCCAGCTTTGGAAAAGGCTCAGAGAGCACCTGCGGCAGCCAACAGCCAGCCGGGATCAGGGCCAACCAAGTGCTGCAGGGAGGGGAGCACAGGAGCTGCCTGGGCAGCACCGGCCCTGTGAGCCAGAGCCCAGAGATCCCAAATCCAGGCCGCAGCATTCCAGCCCCATTTCATCTTGTCTGCATCTCAGTTTGTTCATCTGTAAAATGGGGATACTAATCCTTCCATCCCAAACCAGACGGCCTGTGTTTGTATAGCTTGTGGATTGCAGGAGGAGGGAATGGGGGCTAAACCACCTCATGCCCTCAGCTCCCTCTGTCCCTTGAGCGCCTGGACTTGGAGCTCTGTCTGCTTGGGAGGAAGAGGCACTTTTTTCCTGACCAAGCCCAGGAGGGCTTCTGCCAGAAAGGCTGCTTTACTCAGAGGGGGGCACCTTTTTAGTTTCAACAAAGGAAAAGCACTTTCTCTCTCAAAATAGACCAGGTGGCAAGGAAGGGCAAAATGTCCTCCAGCCCCCAAGAGAGGACAGAGCTGGCCCCAGAGAGCCTTGGTGAGGAGTCAGGGCAGGCGGGTGGGTGGAGTGGGTGGCTGTCAAAGGGACCCCAAGGGAACAAGATGAGCTGGGAAGAGAGTGTCAAGGTAACCAAATGATGAGATGCATGCAGAGGGAGCTGGAAGAGAACAGACACCCTCTGGAGGAAGGCCAGTCCTGGGCCAGCTGGGATCCACTCCCCTGGTGGCCTCTGTAGAGAGGACCAAGTGGCAGTGGCGCCATCCTGTGGCTGCTGTCCTCAGAAACACAGGGCTGTGCCTGATGCAATGTCATAACCAGGGAGTGTGGGAGCCATGGGGAAGGGATGCCGAGCCCAGGAAAAGCCTGGTCAGAGACAGTAGTTGGAAGATAACCACAAGGCACCAGGCAATTTTAATTCAGAGTGAATATCCTAAGAGGTGGATGGACATTTTGGTAGCCCGGGGAGGAGCACTTCTCTCAGACTCGGGGTGTCTAGGAGAGCTTTCCAGGAGAGAGAGCTAAACTGAAACTTCAAGGAGACCGCAGTGAAGGGCGGTGAGAGTGGTGCACTCAGGGGGTGCAAGCCGGAGCATATGCAAATCATCAGAGGTCGGAAAGTGTGGTGCACGTGGACCTACTGTCTCTTGATTACGTGGTGTGCGTGAGAGCAGGACTGCAAGAAATACAACGAGAGATACAAGGAGTTCTCAGATAATGAAGCATCGTTATACTTTGTGAAGATGTTTGTACTTCAGGGGCTGCAAGGAGAGGAGGGACGTGATCAGATTTTCACTTTAGAATGCTCAGTAGAGATGGGAGGGGCCAGGCAGGAGAGAGAGATAGTTGTAGGAGTCCAGGTGAGAGGTGAGCTTGGCTTGAACTTGAGTAGTCAACAAACATGAAGTTAAGTGAGGAGATCCAAGCTGTATTTAGAAAGAGGAATCAAAGGCTAATTGGATGAGAGGCAGGAGTCCAGGGAGATACCCATCGCTGATGTGGGCAACAGTGGCTGTCACACTAGGAAGAGAAGTGGATCTGGGTGGGGAAGGGTGATGAAAAGCTCAGTGGAATTTGAAGTTCAAGGGCAGTATTCAAATGGAGGTGGCTGGTGGGGTACAGAAGCTTTGAGCTCAGAAGAGAGAACTGGGCCAGCTTTAGGGGCCAGGGAGTCACCAGACTCGAGGTGTGAACTGAGGCTGTGGGAGCAAGAGAGTCCCCCAGGAGGGCAGGGGCCCTAAGGGAGAGAAAAGGCAGAGGACAGAACCTGACAAACCTTGACCTTTATGGGTCAGCTGGAGGAGGCAAGGGCTGAAAAGGGGCAACCAGAGAAGAAGAAAAGGCACCCCATTCAATCCTTGTAATACCTTGTACTACGTGCAGGCGAGGAACCTGCAGGCTTTTATATAGTTTTATTAGGGCACAAGTACAAAGAAACTCAGAACTAAATATTTCACTCCATCATATAACCTTCACCTGGGATTTCCTATCCCCTTGTTTAATGCCTCTGTGTTCTAGGTGTCTGTAGTTTCAGGCAGGCCTTCTGAAAGGAGAGCGTAAACAAAAAGGTTGACTGGATTCAAGAGGCACTATATCTGTGCACTATAAGAGGCACTATATCTGTTTTCATTGTCCTTTTTTGATAGGGTGGCCTGGAGAGGACAGTGATGCACCAAACTCTGGTCATCGTCCAGGCATCGCCCAGGCATCGCCCGAGGGTGGTGGTATGAGGACAACAAGATGAAGAAAGGCCAGCTAATTCTGAGCGCTTGTACCCCCCACCCCTTCCTCTTGCACCAGGGGCGGGGTCACTGACTGGCTCTCACGTGCCCTCCCCCCTCACGCAGCCTTGACAGGGACTCGGGCCCCTTCTCCAGGCACCGCCACACTGAGGCAGAGCTGGGCAGAGCTGGCCAGCTTTCTGGAATATCATGGCCTCCCCTGGAGTGAGCCACCACCCCACAAACCACCAGAAGGTCTCATGTTTTTATGATGATGAACCTTTTATTATAGAGACAGACTGAACTCTTTTGCATAAAGAATCTCTGGATTGGATCAGGGAAATCCACCCGCTAAAGGTTGCCCCCAGCTCTCCCTGCCTCTGCCTCAGCTAAGCCCACTTGCTATGTACATCTCAGGGTGACTGGAAACGGCAGAGGCTGCCATCCCCAGGGCCAGGCTGGTTGGGTTGGGCCATGCTGGCCAGAGGGTCAGGGCTCCCGGCTGTCCACCAGGTCAGCGTCGCTCCGTCTCCCGCCTGAGGCGGTTGTCCAGAACTTGGAGCTGCCGGAGGAAGCCCGAGTTGGGGCAGATGTCACGGTGGGCCTGCACCGTCTGGATGGCCTCCACCAGCGTCAGGTTCTCGTAGATCATGAGGAAGGCCAGGACGACCGTGGCCGAGCGGCTCACCCCCATGGCGCAGTGTACCAGCACGCGGCCTGCAGAGAGACAGACCCAGCCTGGCATCAACTAGCTGCCCTCCTGCCACCCACCCATCTGGGCAGCAGAGACACTTCTGGATTTCCTTCAGCACCCCCATCACGGTCCTGGAACACAGACACGGTGTTCACTGCCGGCTGGGGCCAAGGAGGCCCAGAGAGGACCTGGCTCAAGGTCACACAGCAAGTGAGCAGCTAAGTCAAGGTGCTTCCTCCGGCATCCCCTGCAACTCTGGTGAGTCGGTGGGACAGAGGCGAGCACAGTACTACTGGAATCCCCTGGTCTGTGGCAGATTCCAGGGGCTATGTCACTTCCCCCGGGTTCTGCCCTCTCCCGGTCCCTGCAGGCCTATGCCAAAGCTTCATTTTAGAGGAGCCAGCTCAAGAGGCTTTCCTAGGTCCTGTAACCTCTGTCCAACCCCAGGTCTCTCACTGAGGGATGTGGTTACACCAATGACCACTCTGGACCTTGCTTATGTCTGTGGTTGTTGGTTTCCAGTGTCTCTGAAGGAGATGCTCACTAAGTGGCAGTGGCTATTTGCCCCATGGGGAGGGAGGGTTGTTGGAGAGGCTTGTGGCTCAGGACACTCCACCTATCAGTGCTACTGGAAAGATGGAGAGCCCGAGACCCCACCCCCAACCCTCGCACCTCCACCCTGGTCCCTTCCCCAGCAGCTCACCTTGGGGAACGCTGAGGGCAGTTCGGATATATCGAGCAACAGGCAGAAAGTAGACACTGAGGTCAAAGAAGGGGTTGTCTTCTGCCTCAATGCCGTAGTACTCCAGGGGCATCCCGTGGTAGAACTTGGCGCCTGTGTCCACCTGAAACTTGCCCGCAGCAACATTCACAACGTGGGTGATGCCCAGCTGGGTCAGCTTGCTCCTGTCCCGGGCTGCGTGCCTGGGGAGTGGGCACCGGGTGGTGGGAATTGGGAGGTGGGGACAGAGCTCCATGTCTCAGTTCTGGCTGGGCCGGAACTTGTCCCCTCCCCTCCTCTGCCGCCTCTCCCAAGGGCAGAGACTGGAACCAGGGAGCCGGCCTGGGGGGAAGGGACTCCTCTAGTCAGAGGTCAAGAGTCCCTTCCACTGAGGCCGACTTTTCTGGAGAGCGATGCGCCTGCAGGCATCAAAAGCCTTAAAAATGTAGATAGACTTTGTCCAGCAAATCTCCTTCTAGCCACTTAAAGAATCCGAACTGTGCCCACAGATACCTGTAAATTGGATCTAATGATATTTAAGATGGTGAAAACTTGGGGGAAAATTACTACATGTCCTCCAGTAGAAGACTATGTGCAGGTAAACGAAATGCTATGCAAGCGCTGAAACGTGGTATTGGATAGAGGTGAACAAGGAGGGCCATTTGTGCTCTGTTAAGAACCTGTGAAAAATGCAGAATGCAAAACAGAATGGTGTTCAAGGAGGTTTGAAAAACATGCGGTTTGATTCCACTTAAAAAGCTTTTTATATAAAGCAGATTACAAAATAGGATTATAAAGTGATACCGTTTTTGTGAAACAATGTGAAAAGCAGTTACATATGTGTGCGCATGCATTTTTTAAAAGTCAACGAGGATTTTGTTACTGGTTACCTGAGGGGGGACAGCCTGTCTGCCGTGTTGTTATCACGATACTGATCCCTAGTCTCTAAATATTAAGGAAAATTTCTAAAATCCACATATATTGGTCCATATGTTCTAAATTTTAAGAAAAATTTTAAGAAAAAATGCCTCCGTCTTGCTGTCTGTATACACCCTAGAGAAACTCGCGTGCGTATGCCCAGGACACACATACTGGAATGTCTCTGGCATCACGGTTCCCGAAAGTGGGACACCTCGCGTGTTTGTGTGCGATCAGATGGACAGACTGTGGGGTGTCTGCGCAGTCGAATAGTTACAGCAATAAAGAAAGGAATGACCTTTCACTACATATAGTAACATGGGTGAATCTCATAATTCTTAGTGAATTATGCCAGGCACAAAGCACATACAACATGGTTCCATTCACCTGACTTTGACAGACAGACAAAACTAACTACGTTGTCAGGTGTATGGCGAGAGTTCGGAAGGGAGAAGGGGCATTGCAGGCACAAGAAGTGCCCTGTGTCTTGACCTGGGTGGTGAAACTTTTCGTATAAGCTCTATGTGCTTTTTTCACGAGGGTTCTACTTCCACAGTTAAAAGAATAATTTCTGTAGAAGGGAAGAAACACATGGAAAGAGATCATGGGAGGCAAAGAGGGTGTCACCTGTGCCCACAGAGAGCTCTGGGAGAGAGGCTCCCCTCCCGCTCCCCACCCTCCCACAAGGGTCGCACTCACGCATCTCCCAGGAAGAGGTTGGGCCAGACCTCGTTGACGTGGCTCAGTGTGGCGGCCCGACGGGCCCACAGCAAGCGCTGCAGCGAGGACAGCGTCGGCGGCTGGTAGGGGGACACTGGGCCTGTTCTGTGGATCTTGGGCCTTCGGAGGTCCCGCTTTTGCAGGGAGTCCATCCTAGAACAGGGTGGACACTGCTGTGGCTGCAGGCATGCTCCCGGAAGGTGGGTCCACCTGACCCAAAGGCCCAGGAGTGGTGCAGAACCCAGGTGGCAGTGGGATGAGGCGGGAAGGGCCTCAGCTAGTTTGTATGAGGTTATTAACCAGCTCAGCTGCGGCTGAGGCCTTGACCCTTTCCCAAGGAACAATCAACCCCTTGTTACTCTCTCTCCTGCCTTCTCCAGAGGCTCCTGAAGTCAGAAACTGGCCAAGGGGTCCTTGGAATTCCTCGTCTGTGGCAATGAGTCAGTGCAGACCCAACCCCTTAAGTTGCAGGTCACTTAAGACTTTGTAGCACGGAGACCTCAGATGGCTGTGGCTCCTCACAATGGGGGAGGCTCATCTCAAGCCCCCTCCTCTGCTCCTTCCAGGGCTGGCCCTCAGGTCCCCACACCCTCTCATTTTCAGGTGCTTGGAGAGCAGAGCCCCACCCTGGAGTGAGGAGCCTGGGCTATGAATGACATTTGTTAGCATTCCCATCCTGGGTGAGCTAATGCCTTTTAGGGGCCTAGTGCCTCACTTGTGGCACTAGGAGGAGCTGAATGAAGCTCAGGGGGAAATTTTTTAAGTGATACCCCAAACCGTATGGCTGATATGTAGCAAACCTGTGGTTTTAATCCAGTTCTGTGGTCCTGCAGTTCAGTCCCCAAGCCTCCCAGTTTCCATCCTTGGGGACTCCAGAGAGCGGCCACTAACCCACCACCCAGCTCCTCAGGCTCCTCAGGGGAGCCTGGTGTTGCTGTTACATGTGTGCCTGAAAGTCCTGGGCCTTCCCTCCTTACCCCCTCGACTCAGGCCAGCGCTGCAGGTCAGGTCTCACTGAGGTGGGGTGGGCGGTCTCAGGAGTCTGCTGGGTGAGGGAGTCCGGGACCCTGCCAAGCTGGGATCTCAGGGGCACCAGAACTTGGGTCTGGTGCCGTGCTGGGAAGGAGTGCCTATCTTGGCTAACAGTCCTTGGCCCCCTCAACCAGTATCTAGGGAGGGCACAAACTGGAAAAAACATCTTTTCTCTTTGGTAGGCGGTGCCAGGACCGGAAAGAGAAACAGGCACCCAGGAGGCCACTGGCTTGGCCAAGCTCACACAGCGGGCAGCCGGCGGGCAGGGCGGAAGTGAAGAGCCAGCGTTCCCCCTCATCCCACACTGTGATCTCTCAGGGCAGGCTGAGTGGCCTGCCGCCTACCTAGGGCATGGTCTAGGGCCAGGAGTAGGGGAGTAGGGACAGGGACAGGACTAGCACTGGAGCGGAATGGGGCTGGGGTGGTTCCGCCCAGAACACAAATGCTGTGAAGCGGCTAGAATTCCAGGTTCTCCTCTTGGATCCCATGGGGGTGGGGCCTGAGAGCAGACCTAGGCCTCTATGGAGGGAAGCACAGCCCTGCCAAACCACAGGCTTTCTCTCTGCGGGACAGCTCTTTGGGGTTAAAGGCTCTTGGGCCTAGAACTCCCCATGGAGTTGGGAGGCTGCCACCTGAATTGGTGGGAAGAGACCTTTGGAGAGAAGGAGGAGAGTCCGGCCACCACCTATTCTGTGGCCTCGAGCAAGGCTTTGCTCCTGTCTTGGCCACATTTCTCTTCTCGTGTTAAAATACCCTGGTCTCGCTTGACTTGAGGAGTCTCTGTCTGTCTGACCTGAGAATAAGAGAGGAGTGGCTGGGTATGCAGCAACTACAGGGTAGACAGCCCTGTAGTGTGTTAGGGTGGGGTAAGCCCCAGGCCCCAGGGTCATCCAAAAGCCACACTGGTCTTGAGCCACCAGCTGGTGCTCAAGCCTCAAGCAGAGCAGATGGGACTTTGGGAAGCCTAGCAAGCGTGGGCTCAGTCTTCTGTGCTTGGCATGGGGTAAGGCTGCCCTCCAGTGGTCAATAGGTGCCTTGCAGGCTTCAGTTGAGAGCTGGACCTGTCTCCTCCCCGGAGGCTCCTGGGCACAAGAGGAGATAGCAGAGGGATCAAGGATTGAGGGCTCCTAAACCGGGGGCTCCTAAACCACGGGCTCCTAGAGGACCTATGCCCAGGTCTGAAAGATGGCGCTTTTCCATTGGATTAAGGGGTACTCCTTGTCAGGTCCCATCTGAGCCTCCTTCCTGATGCTCATGGATGCATCCCCCACCTGCTGCTCCATCCCACTTTTGCCAACTGAGTCAGGCCCTTGCCCTCTGACTCATCCTTCAATCTCCATGCACACCCAAGGAAGGAGAGTTGGTGGCTGCTGCAGCTCCCCTGGTTTCAGCCACCCCACACACCTGGACTGTCAGGGACCCTGACCAACACTTTCTCCCACACCTCCTCGGCCACCTGAGGGTGAAGCAGGGCCCAACCTTTAGCCCGGACAGGGCTGGCTTGGCTTTTCTCCCCATTCACTCTAGCCCTCATTTGGCCTCCTTCCTGCATCTCCCTCTAAGCTGAATAGCTGCCTCCGTAGGCAGCAGCTTGCCTGCTGTTGTGCTGCTGCGTTGCTGCTGTGGACAAGTTCAGACACTTGTTTTCTGTCTCTGTATCTCTCCTCCTCTCTGTGTCGCTCTCCTGGCTGCCTCTGCCTGCAACCCTCTCACGGGAGGTCCTGCTGCTCCAAGCCTCCCAGCACATCCTGCATGCCGGTGGGCTCAGGCCAAGGCAGAGGCCTTCTTGGAGGGGCCAGCTGTTTGCCACCCACCTCCTCAGCCCCAGAAGATACTCCCCCGGCCTCTTCCCTGCTGCTCAATCCCTCTGCCTCCTCCTCCCCAGGCAGATCAGATGGGACTGTCAGCACAGGACGGAGATCTTTGGTCCAGAGATCTCTTGGCTCCAGATGGGGCCAGAGATCTCTGAGGAGTCTGGCGAAGGAAGCCTTGGGGAGGGAGGCAGGCAGGCCCACTGCCCATGATGACCTGCCAGTGGGTGTGTGCACTCGGCATGTGGACCTTGGAGGAGGGCAGACCTGGGCAGAGTTCTTAGGTCTGGTGTTTGTAGTTTGTACCTGTGTGATTCTCTTGAGCCAGTGTCCTCGGTGGGGCCATGGTGAGAATACCATGAGGTCATTAGTGTAAGGCACTTCCCACAAGGTCTGCCTCATGGCAGATGCCCAATAAACACGCATCTTACAATACTGTTATTATTGCTACTGTTATTATCATTACCTATTCAAGCCTCAGCCATATTCTGTGTAGAGGGTAACTTTCCCAAGGGACAGTGAAGTTTGGTCTTTATGTCTGTGTTTCCTGATGTTCCTTTCGCTGCCTGGTGATGATGATTATTATACTCACAACTCACTAAAGATGTACTATGTACCAGACAGAGCTAAGTGCTTCCATTTTCTCATTGAATTCTTATAGTACCTTTATGAGGCAGGTAATATTATCCTCATTTTACAGATAAGGAAACTGGTACTCAGAGAGATTAAGCAACATACCCAAGGTCACACAGCCAGTAAGTGTGGGAGCCAAGATTGAAGCTCAGGTCTTTCTGACTCTACTATACTTTGTGCTCTTGTCTCTGATCTAGTCCATCCCCCAGTCCAGTCCCATGCCCTCCCTGCCCCAACACAATACACACAGGCACAGGTGCCCTGGCCCTCACTGCCCAGCAAGCTCTGCGTCCCCCTGAAATAGGGGCACTCACCCACCTGTGGGGGTATCTGGCCCAGGCTGCGGTCTTCTCTGACAGGCACTTTGCACTGCCGACTTCCAGCCGCTTGTCTCTGCACACTTGATGCTGTTTCTATTTTTTGATTTGAGTTTAATTATAAAGCATGATGTGCTGCTCCCCTCTTCTGGCCTCCACCTGCTACTCCCCACTCACACACTGGTCCCATGGCATGGTCAGGGCCCCACTCAGCCGGGCACCTGGCCCTGCTCCGGCCAAGGCGGCCCAGAGGGGGGAGGCCTGCGGTGTGCACGGATGTGCATGTTGATCGCAGGGCCATCTTAAAAGCTCCCTTGGCCTTCGAGGGTGGCAAGGAGCAAGGGCAGAAAGTTAAAGCTGGAAGGAACTTCCATGGAGGAGGACAGGGAGGAGACCAGCCAAAATCACACACGAACTGGCAGCACTGCCGACATCAGAAGCCAGGTCCGAGGGCTTTAGCTCGGGACTCAGGATTCTAGGACTGGCCCAGGATTCAGATCTAGAAGACCCAGGCTGAGGGAAGTGTGGGAAGACAGACAAAGGTGTAAGTGGGGTTCAGAGCAGGTCTTCAGGCCAGCCCTGGCCGGCAGTCAGGAGCTGTGTGTCCAGAAGCCACTCTGCCCTCTGTCAAGGTCCTCCTTTCCCCAGGAGGCTTTCCTGGCCCGGGTCCCACTCTCCCTTGAGGCCAGTGAGATGGTTTTTAAGGTTTCTAAGGTTAATTGTTATCATTTTGAGACCTTGGATTTGGGCCTACTAAGAACCTTCCCTGCTCTGCAGAGCCCCTCCCCATGTACCCAAGCTTCAGTACTCTTTCCCACTCCCACTCCCACTCCCAGATGACATGCGCACAGAGACATGCATCCCCGAAGCCATCCCTATGAGGGTCTTGGAAGTCCGAGCTCCAGGCAGTAAGGCTCAGCCCCTGCTGGGGCTCCCTGAGCCTCGTGGAGAACAGGTGGAAGGGGCTATGGCCAAGGGCTATCATGCACAATCACAATCCCCCCTCTCCGCCTATGTTCTCCCCACCCCCATCCAAGGGACCTTGGGGTCCCTGGCCAAGAAGCCTCAGGGCTTGGCTGAGAGGGCAGCCCATTCCCACCTATGGGGACTGAAGACAGTGGCTGGGAGGAAGTGCAGGCAGCTGGAGGAAGTGGATGGAGTAGCAGGCTGTATGGTGGACCCCACACTGGGCTCTTACCAACTTCTGGGTATCCATGTGGGCCAGAGCCTCCAGCAGCACCAGCAGGGCCAGTGCCAGGGTGGCAAAGCAGTAGACCCCTGTGGCGGGAAGTGAGGACCAGGTCTGGGGGAGAGATGAGCTCCATGTCACAGGCAGGTAAACCAAGGCCCAGACTGACTGGGGCCATATCACTGTGACAGGGCAGGAGCTGTCATCTAAACCTGCTTCTGCTTTGAGTCCTCTGTGTAAGGCCAAGAGGTGCTGGGAGAGATGAGGAGGCAGGCTGGGGGCCCGGGGCTCACAGAGAGAGATGACCTCCCCCCACAGCCCCTCACCGTTCTGAGTGCCAGCCCCCGCCTGCTGTGTGTGGCTGCACGGGCTGTGCACTGCACACTCCTAGGGGCCCAGTTGCACAGATGGTTTGGGGGATGACACCCTCAGGAATGTGCAGTGCTGTAGCCAAAATGACTCCCTCCAAGCCAGCTGCCTGACAGGAAAGAAGCTGAGGTTCAAGGTCAGGATTTTTAAGAGCCTCAGGCTGAGGAAGTGGGGTGACTGGGCATGATCAGAGATCTGCTGGTCTGCCAGGTTCCTGAAACCTGTTGAGAGGAAAAAGAGCAGGGCAGGAACATGCCTTCCTGCCCTCCTCTTGGTTCCCCATACCAGCAGGGGAACCAGTTGAGCCCCAGTTTCCCACCAGCTGAGCCCCAAACTTAGTCCCAACTCCAGCCATAACCCTAATTTTCTTCCATTGCACTCACCCCCAAATTCTAAACCCAGCCCTTCATCCTGCCCCAATCACCATCCCCAAGGTGCTCCTCCTCCTCATGAGGGTAGGGGGTGTGGGGGTGGAATTGCTACTGTGCTCCTCCTTGGTTGGGCTGGCTAGGCAGTCCGAGACCAAAGCAGCTTCTTTGGGTTGGTGGGTGAGGGAGGATTCAGGCCACGCCCTGGGAAGCTGTTGGCAGGAGAAATCTGTCACTCTCCCAGCTGCTAGGAGAGCCTAGGCCAGTCACCCACTCACCTCTGACAGCCCCTCTGAGCTAGTGGGTGGTGTGTGGCACAGCAAAGTTGAGGGAGGGAGCAATGTGGGTAGCAGGAGTAGAGACATAGACAGCAGCTCTGGAGGCCTAACCCTCCAGCTGACGGCCCTTGTCGGGGTGGATGTGAGTGTGAAGAAGGCAGGCTGTTGGGGCCAGCCGGGGACAAACCCTGCCAGGGTGTGGTGGGAGAAGGGCAGTAGGTACTCTGCAGCTCCCTCGCAATCCTGGTGCCATCCCAGCAAAAGACACCCTCGCCTCCTCCCAATGGAGCTGGAGGAAAACACAGGGCTGCTGCCAGAGAAATTAAAGCAGCACCTCAGCGAGCACTGGAGGGCCTGAGCAGCACTGCTGCTGCTGGGGGAGCCCAACTCCTTCCACTGGGCAGCTGGGGACCCTGTGGCCTCCCGCAGAAAGGAAGCAGCTTGGGAGAGGAGGTGTTAGGGATCTGTTCCCCTTGTGCCATCGCTCCAAAGGCACTGGACACAGAACAAGAAGGCAGGGTACACGGGAACAGGAAGGAGCCTGGAGAGGCTTCAGGAAGACTTTAGGTCATAAAGGGGTCCCCGGAACCGGAGGGCAAGGCAGGTTAGGGAGGGTCCTTCTGCTGATCTCTGAGATCAGATTGGGTGGGAGCAGGTAGGGAGCGGGGTGCTGCGTCTGAGGCAGAGAATGGATTGGTGTGACGACAGGGAACTTCACATCAGCAGGGCTGTGTGAGGCGGTCACGGCTGGTGGCAGGAACACCTGTCCTTCACCACGTGAGAATGGTGTGGCCAGGCTGACATAAGAATTGACTAAACTCAGAGCTGCACCCCACTTTTCCCTCAGGGCTGAAGGAAGGCGTGCAGAGGTGTGGGGAGATTCAGACCGTCACAGGCACCAGGACTGCCTGGGCCGCTGTGGTGGGGTCAGGTGAGCTGCCCCATAGGCTTTTGACCAAGGAGGCAGGGCAGGTCAGCCTCAGGGCCAGGTAGGAAGGTCTCTCTGCTTCCATTTTGTGTTCCTCTTTCCTAGTGTTTCCATCCTCTCTGGGGTCTGGAGAGTCTGGGTAGGCTGGGAGAGAGGCGGATCCAGAGACATCTTGGCTGGGCCCTGATAAGTCCCTGGGGTGGTGAAGGGAGCCCAGCAGTTTGGAGAGTGAGCCACATCCAGCCAGACACAGCCCTGGCAACTGACCTCTGAGCTGGTCCCACCCCACGTTCCCTACCAGCCCTCACCTGATCTTTCACTTCCAGCCCTCCCTGGCCCCCACTCCATGTTCCCTGCCCAGCTCTCACCTGACCTCTCACTTCTAACTGCACCCAGCCTTGCCCCTTTGTCCCCTCATACCCGACCCGGCCCTCACCTGGCCCCTCAGCTCCGGCCTGCACCCCGCAGCTTCTGGTCCAGTTGGCAGAGCTGGTGAAGGAAGCCTCGGTTGGGGAAGACCCATCGGTGCTGCCTCACGGTGACCACTGCCTGACGCAGGGACATCTGCTGGCGCAGCATGAGGTAGGCCAGGACCAGTGTGGCAGAGCGGCTCACACCTACCACGCAGTGCACCAGCACCTTGGCTGAAGAAGACATCCTGGTGAAAGACCCTTTCCCACCAGCAGGCCCACCCAGGTGCTGGGGTGGGGACCGAGTTCCTTTCCCTGCTCTGCCTTAGGTGTACTCCATGACAAAGCCCGGGCAAATCATTCAAGCTTCATATCAAAGCTTTATGTCTTGATCTGTCAAATGGGTAAACCAACACCTATTTTGCCTGCCCTTGGGATGGGGTCTAAAGTCCTTAGCATAGCTTTTGAGAGAGACCCTCCATGAACTGGCCCCTGCTGATCCTGCAGCTTCATCTCAGGCTGTCCTAAATCAGCCTTCAGCTCTGGGAACACAGGATAATCTTCAGTTTCTTGAAGCTGTCATGGTCTCTGACCTCTGGCCTAGCACATGCTTTTCCAACTCCTTGTAAACCTTTTTCCCTCCCCTTGGTCTGACTAACTTCGACTTCTCATCATCAGGTTTCAGCTGAGAGGTGGCTTCCTCACACAGGCTTTCCTGACCACTCATGGCATCACCTGAGTAACAGAGCAGCTCATCCTTTGCGCCCGCGGCCCAGTGACCACTGCCGTAGAGGGAAGTCGCCCTACTGCCTCGATCCTCTGAATGAAGCACCCCAGCCCCGCGCCCCCATAGCTCTTCACATCTGCCCACTTGGATGAGTGGCACTCATTCTTTACATTTTTGACTGCCTTTCCCCCCCGAACAAACAATAAGCTCCGCAAGGCCAGGCACCCTGCCTTATCTAAGTGTAAATCCCTAGCATCTAGCTCAGTGCCTGACACAGAGAAGATAAGAAATAGCTGGTGAGTGACTGGGTGAAGAGCAAATGAATGTCAAAGTGCTTTGGGTATGAAGAAGTGACGTGACCCATACATGGTCTTGTCTCTCCCATTGCACTGATGAGAAACTGGAGTCCAGAGAGGGAGGCTGGCTTGCCCAGGTTCAAGGACCAAGGGACACAGAACAAACACATAATAGGGGCTTAGCTTTCCCCAGGTCACTTGTTGTCCCCTGGGTATTAGTTTTGTTTTGTTTTGTTTTCCACTTAATAGTACTTTGGGGCAGAAACCAGACAACTAGCTACCAAATGGCAAATTCCCAAGGCCGAGTCATGCAGAGAAAAAACTGTTTTGCTGTTTGGGAGGCCTGGCTTTCAGCCCCAGGGCTGCTCCTAATTCATGGCCTGGTCTTGTATTCCGAGCCTCAGTTTCCCCATATGTGCAGCACTGTGGTTGGATAAATGACTGAAGCACTGAGCCGAGGGCTTTAAAAAACCTGATGGCTTTTTAAAAACTAGGGATGTTTGGGGTCCTCTCCTGAGGCCTTCGGGGGAGGCCCTCCAGACAGAGGACCCAGTGGGGCTCTCTCCGTGGAGCATACCACGCCCTTCCCAGCCCCTTTCCCCAGGCTGTTTCCCTTGCCTCTCTCCCGGGCTCCAGGGGGCCCTTCTTTTGCCTCAGCAGCTTGTTTCCTGAGCCTGTTTCTTCTACTGCTCACTACTTCCATCTCTGTGACTTTCTGGATGAACTTTCTCTTATAGTTTTAGAAAACAAGCAAGCAAACAAACAAACAAACAAACTAGGGATAGGAGGGCACTGATGTTTGAAGGGAAACTAGACATCCCCTGAGGATGGAATGTAAGATCAGACCCCAAGTCCTACCCCCGGGTGTGTTGAGTGCACGGTGAATGAAGTCGGCTGCAGAAGAGAAGTAGGCGCTGATGTCGAATTCGGGGAGGTCGTGGGCTGGCACTCCCAGATAGCTCACACTGCTGCCGTAGAAGTCAGGGCTGCCCTGACAGTAGAGGCCCCCATGGGCGGCGTTCAGCACATGGGTGATGCCCAGCTTCCATAGCTCAAAGCGGTTATTTGCTGTGGCCCTGGGGAACCGGGGAAAGGGGCCGGATGCTGGTTGAGCCTTGAGGTCCAGGAAGGGGGTTTTCCCAGGTTCCCTGGCTCCCTACTTCAGAAGGATGGAGCCACTATGGTCCAAAGGGAGCCGGAAGGAACCTAGCAAGTGTGAGCTGAGATCCACAGCTCCCAGTGCCACCCTCAGAGCTTTCTGGTGGGATAGTTGGTATTATGGGAAGTATCTTGAACCCCTCTTTGCTTCCTGAGGTCATTGCCCCTGCCTTGGCTAGAACAGGAAGGAGAGGATTGCCTCACCCCTGGGACCTGGCTGCCCCTCCTTTCCTTCCTGCCCCACGCCTTCCCACACATTTCCCACCTCTCCTGGCCACTACCTCATACCTACTTCTACTCTGAAACTGTTTAGAGGTGACATCTTTCCTGATTCACCTTTAGTCAGCCTTCCTCACCCATTCTGTGTCCAGAGGAGAGAGGCTGGGACCAGGAAGGGAAGTTCTCTGTCCAATACATTTCATACCCTTCATCACCATTCCTCAGGCGCCCGCCCACCAAACTCCTTAGTTGTCCTGATTTATTTGCCAGCAGACTTCTAGGAGGTCCCCTCTTTCTGGCTAGCAAAGTCTCTGCTCCCCCTGGTGGCCACATATGGTCACTACACTGTCCCCAGGATACAGGGGTCCTGGAGAAAGTCCCTGACCTAGGATGCTCATTGCATAACTATTTCTCTGTGTTCCCTTCCCACCTCTATCTCTGGTAAAGAGCCCAAGAACTGTTTCTTGTTCTTCCCACCCCCACATTCTTTGGGCCAGCTACCACTCACGCGTCTCCTATGTAAAGGTTGGGCCAAACTTCATCCACTCGGCTGCAAGAAGAAATTTTCCCTGCCCTCAGAAGTTCCTCCAGTTCCAGGACACTGGGACAAGGAGTGGCTTCAGTATGTCCCCTCAGGTCTGGGAGTGAGGCCTCAGCCATGGGCCAGCCCACCCACTCCTCTGTCTCTGCAGTCACTTGTCTCTGCCTCTCCAGTGTCATTTCTCCTTCCCAGAGATTGGCAGAGACAGGTGGAATAGAAGGAAGTGACTCAGCAAGTCACAGGGGCCTCCAGAGAGAACAGGACATTTGCCTCCCTCCAGGTCACCCTCCCAACCCCAGCCTCCGTGACCACATGGAATCAGACATACCTCTGCAAACCACTTTACCTCTTCACCTTTGTTTCTTCAGCCACAAATTAAGGATAATTATACCTGCCTCAAAGAATTGTGAGAATTAAATGAAACAAAGGATATTCTGTCTCTAACATATAGGATATGTTTAAGAAACATTTTTTAATAGGTTTAGAGGCCTGAATAGGCTATCTGATTCTTAGGACTGAGTTAAAGTAGAGATCCAGGGTAGAGAGGAGGCAGTTGACTCCAAGGATAAATGATAGAAAAAATTCAGCAGGTCTGGGTGGGAACCTTTGGCTGTTGGATGAGTCTCTAGATTTTAGGGCTCAGAGGAAGTTTCCTGAGTTGTAGAGTCAGAGAACTATGGAGGACCTCATCTAAAGGGTGCTCACAGGGCTAATGGGTGAAGGTTTGAACAATGATTCTGTAATGAAGATCACTGATTTCTCGAAAGAGAAGGCTGAAATGGGCCATGTATGTCAACAGGGAAGAGGGGAGGTGAATGTCGCCCCAGACTTTCTCAAGATCCTAACAGCCTGTTACCAGTAACATTTTGGGGTTGGGAGGGAGATTTCCCTAATTATAAGGACTTTTGTCTCCACAATAGAAACTGGGAAAGGACTATATCTGCCCTTCTGCCAGAGTTAGTTATTGGCAGAACAGGTGAGATGTCTTGCCACTCTCAGATGACTTTGTAAAGGCCCTGGTGGGGCTGGGAGAAGTACCAGCTGCAGTGGGAAGCCTCCCTGCTGCCCCTGGCCTTGAGTCTAGCTTGAGGGTAAAGTCCACCAGGACATCCCTTGTAAGCATGTCCACCCCAGAACCTGTCCCCACCCCCATCAGAGCCACTGAAGTCTGCCTTGCACTGCTTGGGGATGCAAGGCCAAGGGAGAGGCTGGAGCCTAGATCTCAGGTGGTTTGGGAGTTGGTTTATGCCAATGCTGGCACAGGTTGGGGAGTTCCTGTAGGGTAGTATAGCGGAGTGGGAAGACCATGGGTTCTAAAGTTAAACAGATTTGAGTAGGAAAACTGACTTTGGCACAAGGATTAAGTGAAATATTTATTTTTATGTCATTTGGACTGAGAGTAAAGGGGCAATAAATGGCAACAATGATCCTTGTGAACTGGTTCCTGGAGAGCAGCTGGCTCCCTCCAGAGGAATTAGGATAAATTCCCTTTGTTCTCAAACCCTATTTACCAATCCCGTCGACCTCGCCCCAGATCCGCGAGCCTTCTTCTTGATCCTCATCATCTCGCTTTGGGCTTGACGCATGCGCTTTTGATTTTTTTTTTTTTTTTTTACACATTCTCTCGCTCTCCACCCGAGGCCCGCGTACCTTCCGGTTTTGGCACCGCCCCCCACCCTTAGAGCTCCGCCTCCCGCCAGCGGGGCCCCGCCTCCCGAAGCAGTTCCGGTTTGAATTGAGAACAGTTGCCTCATCTGCGGACACTTGGGCAGGAGCAATGCCTGCGCGCAGCCGCCACCGTCCGCGCCTCCACTCCAGGTCTCCTCCCCGGGCTCCGCCCCCGCCTCTCGAGGCAGTGGACTCCGGCGGGGCTCGGAGGGCCCCGGACTCCGACGGCGGCTCGGAAGCTGACTCGGAGGTGGGTCTGGGCAGTCCTCGGACGGCGGAGGTGAGTGGAGCTGAGGCTGAGGAGAGGTGAATTTGGGAGGCACCTGCAGCAGGGGGTGAGTTGGGTGTCAGAGATGAAGCCTAGGGCTGCCGAGGATGGGTTCCGGAGGGGCCACGGGAGACGGTTGAGGGAGCCCGGAGAGGCAGCTCTAGAATGGAATCTGAGGGAAATGGAGGTTGTTGAGCGAGGGCCCGAGGGGGAGTGGCGATGGCCGGAGACTGAGGGGTAAGAAGAGGTTCGGGGTAAGAGGGAGTGGGAGACTGGGGGAGACGTAGCCTCGAAAAGACAAGGGCTTGGAGGTTTTTGAAAGCAGGGTAGCGAGAGGAGATTGAAGGGGTCCCGCCGGAACGTGGAGCCGGAGGAAGAGATGCTCTGGGATTTGGCAGTGGGGAGGAAGGATCGGAGGAGCGGGACCAGGGCCGAGGTTACCGCGAGGCGAGAGACAGAACCGGGTTGGGACGCGCGAGATAGCTGACCAAAGTGAGGCGGTGGTAATTAGAGGAAGGATTTGGGTTCGACTGGAAGAGGAAGGGGTCTCGGGTGGGAAGTAGTCTTGCCCAAAGGGCCAGGAAAAAAGAAATGGAATTAAAAAGAAAAGGAGCCCTTGGGGACCTAATTTAGGGCTTGGGCATCTTCACAGGTGTCTTTCAAAGCATCGAAGATCACTAAGGTAATATACTTGGATTGTGGGGCTTTCTCGTTTGTGGGCAGTGGATCCTCTTAAAACCTAGGGGGAAGGAGCCGTGTTTTGCGGAAAGGACTAGGGAAATTGTGAAAAGGGAAATGATGTTAGGAAACGTAGTGAAAGGCGTGATTCTGAAAATAAAGATACCATTTGGATTTCTTTTAACAGCCTTCTTTTTTCTTTGTTATGTCTTCTTAAAATTTAAGTTTATATTAAATACTAGAGAATTTTAGATCTTCAAAGAATGTTTAATGCATTACCTTTACATTTAAAAATAAAGCTCGGAATAAAAATGTGGACACCTAGATTTTATAGATAGTCAGCATTGAGTGGCTCCAATTTGACAGCTTGAATCACACATACATAACCACAGGGCGAAAATCTGGTCGATGCAGGTGTCCGGGCACATAAAACTGTATGGGAAATCACCGCAGTCCGGGGCCTACCGGATCTTCCTCTTACCCGTAACTCCAGGGTTGGAGTTACCTCTTGAAAATTGGAGGGGTACTCTTGGCCGATTTGCAGGACCAATATTAATGCAATTTTGCAGGTATTATATGAATAATATTTTTAGTAACGTGATCTAGAAAAGCAAGAATAGAGGATGCTTGTAGTTGGGCGTTAACGGAACTAGGATAGATGGACACACAGTTTTTTATAGAAGAAATGGTACCAAAGCCGTAATTGTGCCAGAAAAATAATGATTGTAATATTTCCATTTGCTTTAATATAAATAAGTTAACTTCCTTTTGTAATTATTAACTTATAAGGTGACTTTATGAAATCTTTGACTTTAGCCACATCTCATGTTGTTTTACCTTTACAACTTCTATCTGATAATAAGTTTTGCAAAGCTGTTGACCATTCAAAACAAACTTTTCATCAAGTATTTCTACTCTAAATCGGTATTAACCTGTTTATTCTTTGTGAGATAATTTACCTAGTGCAACACGCTTTTAGTTTATATGTATAGAGTATATATGTCATACCTTCAAATGCTTAGTGGACTAGTAATTATCTCCTTAAAAGAGAGATGAATTCTTTGCTTTCAGCTGTTATCAAAAGATTAACTCCCTTTTCTTTAATTGGTCTTTAATTGAAGAAGTTTCCGTAGTATTTCTGTTGTTTATGTTTCAGTTTACCCTCAGCGACTAAGATCCTGTAGAGGATCTACATAGTACTTAGTTCTGAATAAATCTTGGCGTGTAAAAATGTAGGTAACATCTATTGCACAGGTGGCAAACACAAGGCCTGAGGGCTGAATCCGGCCCTCCACCTTGTTTTATCTGGCCCGGCACCTTGTTTTCACCTGGCAGCAGTGCCAGCTCCTTGCCCCTAGTTAAGGAGCAGTTACATTTATACAATCCTAAAATGACATTCGGCCCTTGAAGGCAACCGAGAGTCTGATGCCCCCCGGTGAAAATGAGTTTGACACCCCTGGTCTGTTGAGTAGCATCTTAATGTTACAGCAAAATTAAAGAAAGAAACCGTTAGATGAAGTTATACAATTAATGTATCTCATCATGCCTAATAGTTATTTTGTTTTTGTTTCCCTTTGACAGTTGTCAAAATCACTTAGTTGTAAAGAAAGTCAGTTTAATGGTAGAGCACTTTCTGTAAGGCAAGAAAATCTCTCTTACTCCAGAAGAAGCCATCAAGACTGCAAGCACAGAACATTCAGGTGTATTTAGATGAATCAGTTTTGTTTCAGTGGCACATATTCTGTTCTTCAAAGACTCATCCAGACTGAAGCATTTTTATTTTGCTGATCGCTAGAACTTCAATGCTTTTTCAAAACTTTGCCATAGTTTTGCTCATTTAGAGACGGTTTTTCTGAGCATTGAAATTTGGACATTGTTTATGAGAACTGTTGAATCACAGATATTATAATGAATATTGTTATTTTTTAAATAAGAGTGACCATATTAACCAGCTATTCCTTTAAAATTCTTGTCCACAGGCCTGATATAATGTTTGGTTTTAATTGTAGGGCATACCTAGCACAGCCATTAAGTTATGGATAAAAATGTTTCTGCCTTCATTTTTTTATACAGTGGTATATTGATAGTGAAAGTTGAATTCACTTTTTAAATTAAAAGCTCCTGTAGCTTTGGTTCTTTTTGTATATCAAACTGACTTATCTGAGATATGAATACAAATCTGTATCCTGCTAAATTACCAATGAAGTTCTTTGTAAAGATTGTGGCATTAGTGGGAGAGTACAGGATGAGTTGAGTGCAATTCTTTTCATGAATGTAGGTTACAGGGAGGGACTACACTGTCGTGCCCAGATTAAACGTTTTAGTTTTTGCAGAAATTGGTGGCATTTAGATTTGTTTTCATTTTCTCTTGAGTGCTTGTATTTGCTTATAAATAAGATGTTACCTATTTATATAATGCTGTACCTTTGTGTTTTAAAATTTTTGCTTGCATGTGGTTTTGGAAACTTTTGAAATCTAGTTTTGTTTTCTTTTTTCTCTAAGGATATGATGTAAAACATTGAGTTATAGTTGGACAAGAACAGAA